TCTGTCCATTATCATACCAAGGTATGAAATAAATCATGTTTTCAGTGCACATTTTATTACTGCTTTTTTAAAGTATAAAGGCAGTAGTAAAACAATGTTTATCTAATGTTTATCTAATGTTTGGTGCAGAATGCGGCGGCCAGACTCCTTACTGGAGTGAGAAAATACCAACATATCTCTCCTACTTTGGCCATGCTGCACTGGCTGCCCATCCGTTTCTGCATTGACTTCAAAGTATTAATGCTTACATATAAAGCCCTAAACGGTTTAGGACCTCGATACTTGGCAGAACGCTTACTCCCAACTAGTTCTACCCATGTCACCCGTGCGAGCCAGGAGGAGAGGCTGAGGAGCTTGACGCTGAGGGAGGCCCGGAAAGAAAGAACTAGAAACCGGGCTTTCTCGGCGGTGGCTCCTCGTCTCTGGAATAACCTACCTCCGGAGATTTGCACTGCACCCTCGCTGGGTACTTTTAAGAACCAACTAAAAACATGGATGTATAGGCAGGCCTTCCCTTCCAGTTAATTCCTGTCCTCTTTCTTTTTCCCCCCTCTTTATTTGATTTATTTTTATTTTTCCCATCTTATAGAATCATTTAATTAATTGTTATAAATTTTTTTAGAACTTGTTATCCTTATGTTGTAAGCCACCTAGAGTGGTCGAAATGACTAGATAGGCGGAGTATAAACAAACAAACAAACAAATAAATAAATAAATAAATAAATAAAACAGATGGCTCAGGTAGTATGGATCCATTCAAATTAAGGTATAATTCTTGTCATACTACAGTAGCAGGGACAGCTGAAAAATTTCCTTAGCATAGCAAAGAAATACCATTTCATGTTTTGGCAAAAATTACCGTGGGTAAACTGTTGCTTTTTTTAACAGATGTGTAATAAAAATAGAATATTAAGACCTACGGCGAGGACAAAACAGAATGGACATATTCTGAAATCAGTGCAAACATCTTGTGAAAAGAATGAATGTTTAACAAAGTACAACACTGGATCAAGACTTTCAGTGACGAAAGGTAGTAAAATCTCTGAGACTTCAGCTTGTGCTAAGGAGTTAACAAAAGAGCCTTGCAACAGAGACTACACTCTTATCGTCCCAAAAGACAGCACAGCCACAAAGCCTGATAATATCAGAAGTTCAGTGAAGAAACCTTTGATGGCCAACAAAAAGTTTAAAAAGCATCCTGTTTCGGTCGAAGATCTAAGGGACAATTTGATATGCTTAACACAACAGCAGCTGGAACAGATTTTGATGGCTGTTAAAGAAGGAACCAGAGGAGTTTCTCAGGTTCAGGATGAAAAAAATGAAGAAACAAGTAAGGCAATAATTTTCTACCAACAACCAAATTGTTTCCAAGTAGCTTTAGATAAGTGTGATGCTTGGAAAATAGTAATACTGTACTTTTTATATCAGAATTAATACTGGTGGGTTAAAATGAGAATATTTCGTCATTGTTGAACAGTTTCTCATTGGACATATTTGATAGCCCTTTATTAGCAAAGTGACACTAATTGCATGCTCTGGTGGTGCAAAGAAAGAATCCCCTAGAATGGGTTAATCCCATCATTGCTTAGATCAGGCGACAGGAATCATGTGATATTGAAAGAGTTTTTATTGCCTCCAGTGATGTCTTCCAGCAGTCTTGTTTCCTACCTCCCCACAGGTTGAATTCTCCACATAAACACTGTGTACTGTATCCCTTCTTGCCTATCTAATTTTGTCTTTCTGGTTTCTTCCAATTCTTATTTCTTTTCATCCTTTCTCTTCCCATTCTTTGTAGCTATTCTCTTCTCTCTACAAACCTACTGACCAAACACAACTTTTTATGTCTCTTTTTGTCTCCCCTTCTTTTGGCTGGCTGTGATGGAAAGGATAGGCAGGACTCCAAGTCCACCAATGATGATCAGGCAATGCCTGCCAAAACTCATGGAGCAAAGACCTGCATTGAGACTGTGCAGCCACTGAAACTCATGTTCTGATGCCTTTCCCATGACCTACCAAGCTTTCCTCCAGGTTCCTTCTCAAAGGGCCTCCTCTCTGGATTCTGGTGGAAGCCAACATTAGACCAGAGTAGCTTTCAATAATTCTGGCTCAGTTCAGGCATCCTGCCAATTGCCAAACCATGCTACAATAGGCACAATTGTTTGAACTGCCCAACAATTTCAGGTGTAATTGCTGTGTAGGCAGAGGTTTCTGTGTAAAGGAGGCTGGTATAAATTAATGAAGCTGTGTGAAGAGGAGGCAGAAATGAAAACAGAGAAGTCCTAAACTATGGCTTGTACGAGGGGGGGCTGATAAGTATTGAGCCTTTCCCAGAAAAAAATGAGCCCTCGGATATGACATGTTCTAAAGATCAAAGCATGTTTTGAATTCTAAACTGTAATTCTCACAAGCCTTCATTTGGTCTGATGTTCAAATTGAGGCTTCGGTAATGTGCTCTTATGTAGGTCTACTGAGTTCAGTGAGGCTTACTTCTAGATAAATGTGTAGGTAGAACTGCAGCATGAACTACTGTAGTTAGATACATTATGGACAAACAGTTGTACATGTAAAGTGTTACCTAGAAGTTACAGCATATGCTAACATCCTTTGTTCCATGTTCTTGAATTGCTGACCAGGAAACAATAGAGCACACCTGCACATGGGATTGTTTTAGTCGCAATTTCCCCTCATCATCCTCCAGAGGTGGTTTTTGAGTATCAACAAGGGCTGTGGGGAGGGGTAAATTTCTGTCATACTACTGTGCAACTCCACAATAACCCTGGATGCAGGACTCTCCAATTTGTATCTTTTGCTCATATCCTTATATTCTGTAATCATTTTCAGCATCATCATCATCTTTTATCTTAACCATTGCATTATTCTAATTGCATTTGTTACAACTAGCTGGGATTTCATGCTAGTGCAGATAATCACTAGAGAGTAGAAATTTTAGTTTCTTTGTAAGGTAGAGTTCTGAGCAGTGCAAACAGGAAGGGGGATCAATATGAGCAACAGTATGATTCTAAAAATGCTGTCAGAAAAAAGTGTACAGATATTTCTTTTGCGGATGCTGATGAAATTATACACAAATCATACACAACTTTACCAACTTTGTAGCCTGATCAGAGCAGGTCTGACTTTATTCCCTCAACACTTATAGGGGCTTAGGCTGACAGAATTTCATGTCCCCCAAGGAAGGAGTGCAATCAAGGGGAGGTGAAGTATCCTAGACCAAGTTAGATATAGTTAGGTTCCTAGCATTTTCAAATATTTTATGGTTGAAATCTTATTTGTACACTGTGCAGGCATCAGAGATGATGCCGTTGTTGTTGTTTAGTCGTTAAGTCGTGTCCGACTCTTCATGACCCCATGGACCAGAGCATGCCAGGCCCTCCTGTCTTCCACTGCCTCCTGGAGTTGGGTCAAATTGATGTTGGTAGCTTCGGTGACACTGTCCAACCATCTCGTCCTCTGTCGTCCCCTTCTGCTCTTGCCTTCACATTTTCCCAACATCAGAGTCTTTTCCAGGGAGTTTTCTCTTCTCATGAGATGGCCAAAGTACTGGAGCCTCAGCTTCAGGATCTGTCCTTCCAGTGAGCACTCAGGGTTGATTTCCTTCAAAATGGATAGGTTTGTTCTCTTTGCAGTCCAGGGAACTCTCAAGAGCCTCCTCCAGCACCACAATTCAAAAGCATCCATTCTTCGGTGGTCCAGTTCTCACTTCCATACATCACTACTGGAAAAACCACAGCTTTGACTATGCGGACCTTTGTCGGCCAGGTGATGTCTCTGCTTTTTAAGATGCTGTTGAGGTTTGTCATCGTTTTCCTCCCAAGAAGCAGGAGTCTTTTAATTTCATGGCTGCAGATTTCATCATCTGCAGTGATCATGGAGCCCAAGAAAGTAAAGTCTGTCACTACCTCCATATCTTCCCCTTCTATTTGCCAGGTGGTGATGGGACCAGTGGCCATGATCTTAGGGGTTTTTTTATGTTAAGTTTTAGATCATGTTTTGCGTTCTCCACTTTCACCCTCATTACGAGGTTCTTTAATTCCTCCTCACTTTCTGCCATCAGAGTGGTATCATCTGCATATCTGAGGCTGTTCATATGTCTTCCGGCAATCTTAATTCCGGCTTGGGATTCCTCCAGTCCAGCATTTCGCATGATGTATTCTGCATATAAATTAAATAAACAAGGGGACAATATACAGCCTTGTCATACTCCTTTCCTAATTTTGAACCAATCAGTTTTTCCATATCCATTTCTAACTGCTGCTTCCTGTCCCACATATAGATTTCTCAGGAAATAGATAAGGTGGTCAGGCACTCCCATTTCTTTAAGGACTTGCCATAGTCTGCTGTGGTCCACACAGTCAAAGGCTTTTGTGTAGTCATTGAAGCAGAAGTAGATGTTTTTCTGGAACTTTCTGGCTTTTTCCATAATCCAGTGCATGTTAGCAGTTTGGTCTCTAGTTCCTCTGCCCCTTTGAAATCCAGTTTGTACTTCTGGGAGTTCTCTGTCCACATACTGCTGAAGCCTACCTTGTAGGATTTTGAGCATAACCTTGCTAACATGTGAAATGAGTGCAATTGTACAGCAGTTGGAGCATTCTTTGGCACTGCCTTTCTTTTGGGATTTGGATGTGGACTGATCTTTTTCAATCCTCTGGCCACTGCTGAGTTTTCCAAACTTGCTGGCATATTGAGTGTAGCACCTTAACAGTGTCATCTTTTAAGATTTTAAAGATTTCTATTGTGTATTCATAAGGGATTTGGTTTAGATTATAATTGACTAGCCCAGTGGTTTTTCCTACTTTGTTCAGTTTAAGCTTGAATTTTGCTATAAGAAGTTGATGATTAGAGCCACAGTCAGCTCCAGGTCTTGTTTTTGCTATGGGCATTTCTGTAATTTAGCAGGCTTTAGCTGGCTAGATAGTTCTATGAGATAGGTATCTGGCTGTGGACCAAGAGGTTGGGAGTTTGATTCCTCACTGTACCTCTAGGGAGAAGAGCCAGACTGTCATATGTGAGCTGCACAGTTCCAAGGCACCCGCAGAAGAAGGGAATTGTAAAACCACTTGTGGATACTCTTTAACTAGAAAACCCTGGAAAGGGAAGCCATAAATCAGAAATGACTTGATGGTACACAATTATTTTTATGTTGCTTCTTTAAAGGATTTCATATTGAACATGTGGAACTATTTATCACAGCATTAACACAAATAGCACTTTTTTAATTTCTAGTATCCAAGAGTGCAGAGAACAACACTCCTGCTGATCAGAGTTCAGAAGAAAACATAATGGGTTTGCTTCAGAAGGCTGAAGTTCCATCAGCTCCAAGTGAAAGTAGTATAATTTCAGACAAAAAACAAGGAACATCCAAGCATGCTGAAGAAAAAACAATCACGTATGTAAATCTTACACACTAGAGATTAGTTTGATTTTTTGAAAAATGAGTACTTCTGAAAGAGAATTTTCCATAAGATGGAAGGAAGATAAAATATTTCACATTATAATTAATATACAGGGTGGAATCTAATTAAGTCCTCTGATTGCTATAATTGCTTCACTAGAAGAGGGAGACCATCACCCCACTTTAACATGTGCCCTCAAAATCTGCTCTAGAGTATTAGGAGAACTTCTGAGGCAGATGGCAAATATAGTGATCTGTGGCAGGATGCGGGGGGGCAGAACTGTCAGATGGAGTTTCTACTCGTATGACAATGCTTAACACCCATAGCTTGTGTCCTCAAAACCTTGTGTGAGGTATTTGTGAGAACACAGGCAGTGTGACTGTCTTTAGATGTCAGGCTCTAAAGTATGGCTTAGTAGACGTGCATGGGTGCTGCTTCTCTTCTGTTTTGCTTTCAGTTTCCTATGTCATCTCAACTGGGAACTGTGGTGATCATCAGTTATTGGTTAATTTCCACAAGCCAACAGAATACATAATGGCTTACGTGGAATTAGAGTTACTGTTAAACACAATTTGTAATTCTGGACACACAAGAAAGCATGTTTAACTAAAAACAAAACATTAAAAATTCCTTTCAGTTCTGCCCCCCACATCCTGCCACAGATCCCTATATTTGCCATCTGCCTCACAAGTTCTGCTAATACTCTAGAGCAGATTTTGAGGGCACATGTTAAAGTGGGGTGATGGTCTCCCTCTTCTAGTGAAGGAATTATAGGAAAGAAAGAAACAGAATTTGGTGGCGGACGAAATTGGCAATTACAGGCCCATTGCCAATGTTTCTTTCATCAGTAAAGTGGTGGAGACGGTGGTGGCTGACCAGCTTCAGGCTCTTTTGGATGAAACAGATGCCCTGGATCCGTTTCAGTCAGGCTTCAGGCCGCACGATGGTACAGAAACAGCATTGAATCGCCTGCATGATGACCTGCTGAGGGAGGCTGACAGGGGTAAAATATCCCTATTGGTCCTTCTAGACATCTTTGCGGCCTTCGATACCGTCGACCACGGTTGGGAATTGGTGGCCTGGCGCTTGCCTGGCTCCGTTCCTTCTTGGGGGACCGTTCCCAGAGAGTACAGCTTGGGGAGAGTGTCTCAGCCCCATGGAGCCTCAACTGTGGGGTTCCACAGGGGTCGATTATCTCTCCAATGCTGTTTAATATCTATATGAGGCTGCTGGGTGGGGTCATCGGGTGTGGGGCATCGTGTCATCAGTACGCTGATGACACCCAGCTCTACATCTCCTTTCCACCTACTGCAAGAGATGCCGTCCTGTCCCTTCAGCGTTGCCTGGAGGCTGTACTGCAATGGATGCAGGAAAATGGGCAGAGGCTGAACCCGGACAAGACGGAGGTTCTGAGGGTGGGTGCCCCCACTATCGATGGCTTGGGTGACTCTCTCTCATTCAGGGGGGTTACCCTTGCTGCAAAGAGTGGGGTCTGTAGCCTGGGGATCCATCTGGACCCGGCACTCACCATGGAAACCCAGGTGGCGTTGGTGGTCCGTTCTGCCTTTTTCCATCTGTGGCGGATAGCCCGGCTGCAACCCTATCTTGATACGGGGGTGCTCACTACCTTGGTCCATGCGCTCGTACAGTGGTGCCTCGCTTAGCAATTCCCTCGTTTAACGATGTATTTGCTTAGCAATCAGATTTTTGGAGCGATCTTGTGCTCCGTTTAGCGATTTTTCGTATGGGGAAATTTCACATAGCGATGTTCGGGACCTTGCTTCGCTTAGCGATGACAGTTTAGGTCCCCCTGTTTCGTTTAGCGATGTCCGTTTTCGCTATTTTAAGTGTGTCTTAAAATGTTCAAAAACTGTTTAAAATACTTGGAATCGTTAGTACACCTTGTAAAATCTTTGCAAACTTAATTTGGCTTTGTTCTGAGTCTTCGTTAATTTTTGGTGAATCCCCCCCCCCATTGGATTGCATTGAACTGTAGGTTTGCTCTCCATCTTGTTGAATTTGTCTATTGTATGATAATATTTTAATATTTTTTTCATGTATTTTATGCTGTAAGCCGCCTAGAGTGGTCGTAACTGACCAGATAGGTGGGGGGGGGGATATATATATATATATATATGTATGTGTGTGTATTTTCAGCCATTGAGGAAGATGTAAAGGAGAAAGAAGGATGGCACAAAGAAGCTCGTGGAGGTGCCTAAGCAGATTTCTGTTAGATTCATTTCTGTAACCTATGGAAGGGCAAGACATATACTGTTGATTGTTCTATATTTTCTTGGACAATATGACATGGTTTCATGAATGCTTTATATGCTTTGATTCTGAACACAGTCATTGGTTATATTATGCCTGACACTACTTCAATTTGGCTGCCTGTTTTTTCATCCAACCATCCTACTTTTAACAATTGACCTTTAAGTGTCTTCTGTTTTTCCTTAGGAATTTGTGGAAGCCAGCTGACATATTTAGTACTTTAGGAGAAAGAGAGAGGGATAAAACATTGTTAGAATTAAAGAAGTCCCAATGGAAGAAGGAACTGGGTGAGTGTAATTGGCTACATGTACTGTATGTCTTTTCCTTTTAATGGCTGATTCCATAAGGCATTCAGATAATTTATAAATATTTGTCACTGTTGTTAACATGATATGAAGTGTTAAAATAATGATCAAAATATAAACAAAGCAATTTTAGAGTTGTTCTGATGGTGATCTCAACCACAGTTCCTGTGTTTATCTTAGCTAAATTATTGTGGATAATTTCTGTTAATGGTACTTTCTATCTGTAATGCATCTGTAAAAATGTCAGATCTCCGCAAGATGGTTCTGACAATAAATAAATACATGGAGAGGGAGAGGTACCATTCTGACGTATTTTCTAGGTGCTAAGTATCATTGAGTACTTTAAGCATTAGCATACTCTGAACAGAGCCTAAAAATGCAGTTGAGAATATAATTCCACTTTGACATTTATAAAGCTGGATCAGTCCATAGTCAAACAACCAGCATCTATGATCTACCTGGTTATATATGAGGGGGCTAACTGGCATAAACTCTGGGAGGCAGTGGAAGACAGGAGGGCATGGTGTGCTCTGGTTCATGGGGTCACAAAGAGTCGAACACGACTTAACAACTAAACGACAACAACTGGCATATATTACTGAGATTTGGATGGACGGGCTGGGTGACATGGGCCTAACACAATGATAACCTGAGTATTGTAGTGCCAATTTAGAACAAAAAGTGAAACATGCTGCTTATATACCACCCCATAGTGCTTAAAGCACTCTATGGATGGTTTACAAGTTAATTATGTAAGCTACACATTGCCTCCTCCCTTGCAAGTTGGGTAGTCATTTTACCGACCTCGGAAGGATAAAAGACTGAGTCAACCTTGAGCTGGCTGCCTGGTATTGAATCCCGAGTTGTGAGCACAGTTTTGGCTGCAGTATAGCAGTTTGACCACTGCACCACAAGGCTTCTTAATTCAGATTAAAAGGCTAGTGGGAAGAGGAGTTGGTGTTATCCATAAGGATGCCATCTTCCTTATGAGGAGACCCATCTGCCTGACATCAGTTGTTCTTATTGTTTGTGGGTACACACACTAGTCTAACCAAGCTAGTTACCCAAGTACAGTGGTGCCTCGCATAGTGAGGTAAATGCGTTCCGGATTAACCTTCGCTATGCGAAAACCTCGCTGTACGGATCAAAAAAAGCCATTGGAATGCTTTTAACATCGTTTAATGCGTTCCAAATTGGCAGAAAACTCACTGTACAGCGATGTTTTCCGGGTCCGGCAGCCATTTTCGCGCCCTCAGTAAGCGAGGGGAGGGCGCAAAAACGCTGCGCACGGCCATTTCGGCCGCAGCGAGACCGCGAATCAGCTGTTCAGCGGCTGAACAGCTGATCCGTGGGTCGCAAAGCGAAGGTCGGTAAGCGAAACAGCCGAAATGGCTGCACGCAGCGTTTTCGCACCCTCCCCTCGCTTACGAAGGGCGCGAAAACGCTGCGCCTGGCCCTTTCGGCTGTTCCGGCGGCCATTTTGGACCCGCTGAACAGCGGATCGCAAAGCGAAGGTCGGTAAGCGGGGCCGAGGGAGAAGGGATTACTATGCGAATTCATCGCTGTACGGGGCGCTGGTTAAGCGAGGCACCACTGTATGTTATTTCTGGTGGTAACTTTCTGTTTGGTGTTTAGACAGTGTTGTCAGGTCAATCCAAAGTGACACCGATTTGGGACATGACACTGTGGCATTTACCCCATGGCCCCTGCTTGTTTCACCAAACACAGGGCCCACACGAGTATCCTAGCACACCCTTTAACATGCTGCCACCAGTTGATCTCTATATCAACCTATATCTCCTATGAAAGACTGAGGTCCAGTCAGTACTGAACTTTTAAACAGAACCAGGTTTATTGATTACAGGTTGTTTTAGGAATGGCTCTTAAGCAAATTCTTAGTTACACAAAGCTTCAGTATTTTACTTTAACCTCTTCTATCTTAATTAATGTAGGGATGTGGTGGTGCTGCGGGCTAAACCGCAGAAGCCTGTGCTGCAGGGTCAGAAGACCAAGCAGTCGTAAGATCGAATCCATGCGACGGAGTGAGTGCCCGTCGCTTGTCCCAGCTCCCGCCAACCTAGCGGGTCGAAAGCATGCAAATGCAAGTAGATAAATAGGGACCCCCTCGGTGGGAAGGTAACAGCGTTCTGTGTCTAAGTCGCACTGGCCATGTGACCACGGAAGATTGTCTTCGGACAAACGCTGGCTCTATGGCTTGGAAACAGGGATGAGCACCGTCCCCTAGAGTCGAACACGACTGGACAAAAATTGTCAAGGGGAACCTTTACCTTATCTTAATCACTCCTTAAACACACACTCTCTGCCTCAAACCCCCAAACTTCTCCTTATCTGCCTCTGACTGAACTATCTAGACTCTGACTCACCCCTCCCTTCTAGTTTCTCTGGCTCCGCCTCCCAACAGCTCCCATTGGTGCAGGCCAATACCTTTTATATATATATATATGCTGAGGTATGTGTGGATAGATAGATAGCGAGGAATCCGTCCCAGAAAAGAGCAGGGAGCCATGTTTTTTACCCGGTGGCCATTTTGAAACCGCCGATCAGCTGGCCAAAAATCATCGCTTTGCGAGAATCGGTTCCTGAAGCAGGGAACCAATCATTGCAAAGCAAAATTTCCCCATAGGAAACATCATTTTGTGATCGCTTTTGCGATCGCAAAACCTTCAACGTAAAGTGATTTCGTCGTAAAACAGCACTCGTAATGCGAGGCACCACGATAGATAGATAGATAGATAGATAGATAGATAGATAGATAGATAGATAGATAGATAGATAGATAGATAGATAGATAGATAGATAGATAGATAGATAGATAGATAGATAGATAGATAGACACACACATACACACCTCCATGGATAGTGTGTGTATATATATATATGTATAAGGTATTGGCTTGCACCAATGGGAGCTGTTGGGAGGCGGAGCCAGAGAAACTAGAAGGGAGGGTGTTCGCTACAGGCACTTTCAAATTCTTGCCTTCCCAGTTAACTTGGAGCTTCCTCTCTGCTTCACTGTTGTTCAAGTGAAAAGTACAGACTGTGTTTTTAAAGGGTTTGGTTTCAGCAAATGGTTCTTATGATATAAGAAAAAGATTTTCTAATGCAGAGGTTAGCCAGTGCTGTGGTACTGAATAAAAAATATAGACAATAAAATGGGAAATTGGCTGTGATATTGGTTAACTTAAGTTTTGTAGATAAGATATAAAATATGGATAATGAGCCATTGACTGAGATAGTTAGAGATAATGTTAGTATAGTGCATGGGGCATAGGAATGTATAAGAGTATATAAATAAGAAAATTACTGTGATTGTACTATAACATATGTTTCTGTTCTGTTATTATTCATGGATTGTCAATAAAAACTTTAAGAAAAAACAAACACAACTCAGTAATCCATCTACATGTGTTTGTGGCTTTTGATACCATTTTATTAGAACAGATCTGTGAGATGGAAAGATGAGTCACAGTGTTATGGTAATTCCACTCTCACCTGTATAGTTGATTACTGATAGTAGCTTGCTGAAACCACGGCTGTTAAGCTGCGTGGTACAAGAGGGTTCTATTCTGTCCCCCATGTTTTTTAAAATCTGTAGAAGAGGCTATCAGAATTGATGGAGGAGCTCAACTCTGAGGTGCTAGACCAGTGTAATAGGCAGGATGAGAGACAGACAGACAGTAAACTGAAATAGAATGTTGACACTGTAATGGGTTTGTGGCTCCATGATTCTTTGGTCCAAGAATCATGTGAGCAACATGTTCCAGATAGAGTAGCAGCTTGCTAGATGGACATATAGAACTTGAATGAATGAATGAATGAATGAATGAATATCAGTCCAGATGCAAAGACTATTTTCCATCTTAATATACTTCATATCAGTTTTGATGTCAACACAATAAACGGAAAGGCTGACACTAGTCCCCGTTCTATTAGTATAACAGATATCCATCCTAAAAATGGGATAGGAGAGCTCTTAACTGTTGAGTGCCACTGATCCCACTTTCGTGAAGACCAGCAGTACCAGGTCTAATCCTATCACAACTGGGACAGATATACTCAGAGACATGGGTCTCCCTCTTCTGGGTACTACTCTCCCCAAACCACAGCCACCATCCACTTACTATCCATGGAGGTAAAATTGTTTGTTGCTAGTACCTCTGTCAAGTGAACCAGCAGAATCTGCCCCCTCCATGCAGACCTGCCACTCCTTACCTTCCACACAGTGACCATCTGCCCAGATAGATTTCTTCCTAAGGTGGTCTTCCACCTTCTATCTGTTGCAAATCTGGATACCACCAGGCTTATATCCCAGTTTGTCTACTCAACTGAACATGCGCTACACTCACTGGACATCAGAAGGGGTATTTCCCTTTGCATCTTGAGAACTGCCTCCTTCAGGTGTACTGAGACTACTGATTTGCTATGGATTATACAAAGAAGGGTTACTAATCTCATCCTAGAGATTTGTCCAAGTGGATGTAATCAACAATAATAGTCTGTGATCAGCTGTCAAGCAGGCCGCTCTCAGTAGTTCTATGGGCTCACTCCACAAGAGAAATAGTGGTATGCACAGCCTTTCTCAGAGAGATTCTGCTCCAATATGTTTGCAGGGCAGCAACCTGGGCAACGATGCCATGCTGCTGCATTTCTTAGCAAACATGGAACAAAGGAAACTGGAGGGAGAGCAGGCAGTATGTTTGGTGGAGAGGGGTGGGCTTCTGCCAAAAATCGGTATGAGAGCTAGGAAGGTTCTAGCTCTACACAGAGCTGCTCTTGAAGTTAGTATTGAAGCTCCAGCAAGTTCAAAATGTGGCAGCCAGACTGATTAAATGTACCAGGAGATATGAACAGAACTCCTCAGTCTGGGCACACCTTCACCGGCTCCCTCTCAGTTTCTGTGTCCAATTCAAGGTGCTGGTCACGACCTATAAAGCCCTAATTAGTTTAGAACCTTGATACTTGTTGAAACATTTCTCCCACAAAACACCTGCCTGACCGACCTTCTCCTTGCAGTCCATGATGTTAAAAATTGTGACACCTAAGGAGGCCAAAAGAGATAAAACCAGGAACTGTGTTTTTCTGATAGTGGCCCCTTCCCTTTGGAACAAGCTTCTGACAGAGATTTGTCAAGTGCCTTCCCTCGCAGTTTTAAAGAAACTAATAACAGTATGCTATGTTGTATTCGTGGTTTTACTACCTGAGATGTTCAAATGTTTTAAGTTGTTTAATTCTATTTAAAGATACGTTTTAGTGATAGGGTTTTATGTATTTTATGGTATTTATTGTATGGTAATTTTTTGCACTTGTTCATTATATGTCATTTAATGTGTTGTGAATCACTATGGGGAGGCATACAAGAATGAATGAATGAATGAATGAATGAATGAATGAATGAATGAATAAATAAATAAATAAATAAATAAATAAATAAATAAATAAATGTTCTTTAAAGATGAACAGGTGGCTTTAAAAAAGAAACTTAAAGAAACTTATGAAACAGAATCAAAATATCGATCATGGCAGAAAACTGATACAATAAGAAGCTGCTCAGAAAAACTCCAAATGACTCATCAAGCCAAGGTGAGACAAATTATTTCAGAACTGCTTCATCTATTCATTGTTTATTTAAAAGTCTATATTTTTATTTATGCCCTATCAGCTAAAACTGATGTCTGCTTCTAAAGTTTCTGTGCTGTGTTGAGCCTGTTTTTTCTCTCTCAGAATAGTAGACGTACATTGAGAGTGCTCCTAGGATTAGGCAGACAATCTGAAGGTTCTGAATTCAGTCCAAACATTTTTCTTTCTTTAAAAAAAATTTAAAATTCATTTTCATAGGGATAAGGGTTACGGTACAAATAGAGGGCCAGGTAAGGGGGGGGGGGAAGGTAAGAAAGGGTAAAATTCCAGAGAGTGAAAAGTATTCTTACATCCACTTATACAGTTATATTAAAGATAGAAATCATACAAAAGAGAAAAAAACATTATAACAATTTTTCATGATATTTATCATTACTAATTTTTATTTTCTTGGACTTTCTCTTTCTTTTTATCTTTAAGCTTACTAGTTTTATAGGTTTAATATTATTCTTCAATTTTATATCTGTTGCTCTAATCAATGTTATAACCATTAGCTTGTGTTTATTTTATCATATATTCTTTCACCACAAAATACATTCTTAAATTTAATCTCCACTGCTCTGTCTCCATATTTGAACCAATATTTTGTGCCCCTCTTATGTTGTTTTTCATTTTCCATCTTATGGACCATGCATCCATTCTCAAGAGCTTCATCCACGTCATGTATCCACTCCTGTGTCCCATCTTCTGCAGTATGTGTCCCACCATCCCAGTTCCTCTCCCCCCACCATAGTAAAGTTCACCATCTGCTGTACGTCTGCTACTGACATCTCCATAAGAGGGATTAACAAATTAGCTCTCCACTGCATTGTACCTTCACCTTTTTCTTCTAGAACCTTCTGGGGTTTAAGAATAAAATTATCAGTCCCTGTTTGTGGTTTTAAAAAATTGCTTCCCTGTCGCAGTTTTACTTCTTTCTCCATCTTCACTGTAAGTTCCATTTGTGTCCCTACATCTTTAATTTGTTCAAATAGCCGATCCATCTCTGTTTTTATCTGGTGCGGTCCATTAAGTATAACATTTTGAATATTCTTGAGAATGGCTTTTTCCATAATTGAGGTATTATCTGGATTTCTTTCCAGCTTGTAGTGACCACAATAGTTATTCACAACAGTAGCTTGGGGCAGAAGGTTGACAGGAAGAAGGGCTTTTCCCAAGGCTGTTTCTGGCTGCTTGACAGATTTAAATCCATCAGTAGTTTGTAGTTATAGTGTCCTGCGGGAGAGTTTTATTGCCGCAATTGAAGCAAAGTTGTTTTTTCTCACTCCCCCTCCCTCCTCCTTTCTTTATGTTTCTCTTAGCGAAGCCTCAGATGAAGGGGGGAGTGTTCACTGGTCTGGCCAGATTAGCCAAACCTCAGATGAAGGAGGGGGGGGAGTGTTCACTGGTCTGGCCAGATATAGGTCTAGTGACTTTCTCTGACAGATTACACTCATTCTCTTCGTTGTTTAGGTCCTTAAGAGTTCCACGTGTAAAACAAGCCACTTACTTCAAGTTTTGATCAAGATTATTTTCCAAAATCCTTCTGTACTTTTCTGCTCTCTGCCTTTGGGGCATTCACAGCTCTATTCTAAAGATGGCACCCCGGTGGTTTCTGCTTTCCAGATTGTAACTTCAAAGAGAGGCCAATCCAGGAATCTCCTGGGCCACTTCCCTTCTCACTCAGATTCTGTTGCTTCAGATTTTCATTTCTCCTAGTAAAAGTCCTTTCCCCACCCCAAGTTTGGAGGGGTTGAAACAGAGTGGTCTTGGTCAGTTTCATGAGCCTCCTGAAACCCAGATCTCACTGCGACAAAGCCCCAGCTCAATTCAGTCCAAACATTTTTCCAAGTCTACCTCAAAGAAAGTGTGATATTCTTGAGATGCTTTATTCCACAAATGCTCCTAGAATTAGCTTCTATATACAATGCAGACATTCTTTAGGTTCTTTCAGTGCCCAGAATAATTGCTTAATATTGGGTTATATGATTTACCTTTCAATGCTAATGCAAAATGTAATTCTGTAGTCACCAAAGTACTTTGTTTGTAGATGGCATTTTCAGATGCTTTGAGCACTGCAACAGAAGATAGAAACATCTGTACAAGTTTAACCACTGAGGCTAGTGAAGCTTCATCCAGTGTTTCAAGCGGTCAAACTGGACAGTTCTCTAGTTTCAGTTCTCCTGATTTACCAGCTGCTATTCGCACAGCGTTTGTGTTAGGGGTAAGAATGTATTTGCATGAAGTGTTTTAAACATGATGTCTGACACTGTTCTTTTCTGCCTATGGAGATTGCTTTTGTGGTTGTTTTGAGTGGTTAGCTGGGCAGGCTTTGTTAAATTTTAGGGCAAGGATAGGATCAGTTAACATATATGGAATTAAAAAAGGATCCAGTGTGCCAGTTTTTTTTCCTATTTCCTTTTATCTGTACATCATAGATCTTTCCTAAAAATGATTTTCAAACATAGTTTGAGTTCTAGTTTTAGTTCAGTTTTGAACTCCATATGTACATTTTAATTAATATGCATCAAACAAACACTACTGGAAATTGCACTCTATAAATAGCTTATTTGACTATTCATCCATGTGGGTGTGTATATCTGCTGGAGGTGTACAGGTTCATTTTTGTCAAATACAGAGGCTGAAGACAGGTTTAGTTGGAGTAAGATTAATTCACCTTTGATTTATTTGCAGGCATTACACTACTAAAATGGGACACTCTGTAGAGCTCCAGTAGGTATATACGCCCACGTAGGTCAATAAATTAAACAATTAATAAAAGTACAGCTTCTCCTTCTCCTTTTTAGGAAGCCACACCAGTAGAGCATCCTTTTAGTGCTGTTAAACGTGAGCAACAGAAAAAATGGCTGGAAGAGCTTGATAAACAAAGAGAAGCTGACAAACTACGCAAAATAGAAGAAAAATGTAATTTATCAAAGGTAGTTCTGGTTTTGTGAATAGTGGTTTAAAAGAAGAAAGTAACTATAACTGAATTAACAAAAAACATTTTTGCATTAAAATGCAATAGGGTACAGCCAAAATCTTCTTGCCAAAAGGATGCAAGTTTTCATTTAGTATTGTGTTTGTCTAAGTGTGTGTATGTGTGCACACGTCTTTTCCACTACAGCCACTCATGAATAACTTGCGCATCCTAGTTGATCAAATGGCCCTAGTTAATAAAAATACTTTGAGGAAGAATGTACATGAATTGAGTCACTACAGGTATGGCCATGAGTCATTTGTCTAGGAGGAAGGAAAGGGAAGGATGTTCACTTCTCCATAGCATATTTTCTTTCATTTATATTCCTTCTTTTGTCTAAGGAGGATCAAGGATAGATGGCATTGGGGGATTATGAAAACCAAGCACATAGACTACGACTTCACTGGATTTGTTTAATTTTCCGCCCCAGTACTAGGAACTATAATGGAGAAAGCAGAAAAACAACACAAAGTATAGAATTTGCTCTGCCTGTTCTTCGGCATTTAACTGTGAGCATTCAATAGATTTCTGCATTTTCTAGTGAATTTAAAAATGTAAATAGCTGCTGTATAAGACTATTTAAAAGCAATGGTTCCATAAACATGCTTCTATAAGATGTTATTCATAAGTTGTTGCCACTTTGAAATAGTTGTGGTAGAAGAAGGTTAGTATAAACTTCAATATTTCTTTCCTTTGTAATTCCTTTGTAGGGTGAAGAGCATGACCGTTGGACTTTGCATTTTGATTCTTTCAGGAACCATGCAAACTCTTTTTCACAATACCCTTTAAATACAACATACAAAAAACATCATGAAGCTTTGCAGCTTTCACCAGAGCCCCAGCAACAGGCTGTTTTTACACCTACACCTACAGAGGGAGAGATGTTAGGAAAATCAATTGGAAACTGCATTTCAGAGCCAAGTCAGAAGGCCAGGTGAATGTTCCTTTTTTCCTGTCAAATTACTGCCAGTGTTCCTGTACCATTTTATGTAATACTGTAGCTGAAATCCTGTTGCATAGTATAGTAAGTCGCACTAGAGCAGGCCTATTTAGTCAGTGAGAATTTTGTGAGTCAACTCCATAAGTTCCATTTATTAAAATAGATCTACTTTATTGTAATTCACTATGCTAAAATAAGTCAGAACTAAAGTAAGTGTATTTGCATCAGTGGAACATAACAAAGGAGTTGACGTGCCTAATCCCCACTGATTGAGTATGCCTATTGTTGCGCAGCTTGTTACACCATGCAAGAGGATTTCAGCCTGTATGTTCCTTAGAGATAATGTTCAATACATTTATTTTAGTGTATCATTTATATGTACAATTAAGGAGTAATTTTCTTCATGCTTGTTATAACACTGAATAGTATCTGTGAACAAAATGTATGTTAAATCTGACTTATGGAGATCCTTTCCAGAGTTTTCTAGGTAGTGATGACTCAGAGGTGGTGTACCATTCCCATCTTCTGGCGTACCCTGGGACTGTGCAGCTTGCCCAAGGCTACACAGGCTGGCTGTTCCTCCTGGAAGCACAGTGGGGAATCAACCTCCCAACATCTGGCTCCACAGCTAGATACCTAAACCACTGATCTATCCAGGCAGCTGCACAAAAATAATTTTGTAAAATTATTGCAAATTTTATTGCTGATATGCTGAAATGTTACATGGTCTTTAAACTACACAGAACATTGATACATTTGCTAATAATTGTGTCAAATTATTTTTCTATTCATGGTTTCTTTCTTTCTTATAATAATAAATGTTTTAGTACGGTCATTGACCAGCAAAAGTAAGCAACATTATTTAAATTAGGAAACATAAAATCAATCTAAAAACTTCTATGTACCTATATGTATATGTGTATGTATATATACAGTGGTGCCTCGCTTAACAATTTTAATTGGTTCCAAAAAAATCATTGCTATGGGAAAACATCGCTAAGCGAAACGCGGTCTCCCATTGAAATGCATTGAAAACCGGATAATCCGTTCCAATAGGAATGGATTGCCGTCCTTAAGCGAAAATCGCCATAGGAAACATCGCTAAGCGAAACGCGGTTCCCCAATTGAAATGCATCTCAATGGGGAAAAAAAATTCAACAACAAATTTAAAAAGAGTCAGAACAAAGTCAAATTTGGTTAACAAAGGGTTTATTAAGTGCACTTTATGATTTCAAACATTTTACACAGTAAACTTTAACTTTATAACATTTAAAAAACAGCAAACATGAGGCTGTTTAAACCATCGTTAAGCGAAACGGGACCCAAAAACCTAATGCTCCGAAAAAGTCATTGCTAAGCAAATTCATCGTTAAACGAAGCGCTCGTTAAGCGAGGCACCCCTCTGTGTGTGTGTGTGTGTGTGTGTGTGTGTGTGTGTGTGTGTGTGTGTGTAAACTACATTCATACATCTTATTAGATATCTCCTGCCTCCCTGTCATAGGCCTTGTCTATGGGTTATTGTAGCTTGCATAGAACAACAGAGTTGTTACTTAGAAGCTCATAGAGGCTGTATGATCATTAAGGCCTTTGTGTATACAGTTTACAGAAACTATAGGTGCGCTTTGGGTGGAGCCTTTCCTTCACAGATTTTGATTGCAGCAGCACAGAATTTATCTACTTTTGTCAACATATGTGAATTTTGGTTTAGCCCAGTATATCTGCCAGGACATTGCGCTGTCAGCAAGAGCAGTGTGTAATGCACCTACGATCATCCAGGAAATGCCCTTATGTAAGGGTTAACGAGGACTTCTTGAATACCAGAATAAAAAGCACAATGAAGTAACACATGGGAGATGGTTTCAATCTCACCAGAGTTACAGGGACATATACGCTGGGTGTAAGGGGTGTTGTTATACTTCCGTTCCTGGATGGAAGTGCATTGAAGTAGGCCAGAGCAAGGGCTTTGCATTGTTTAGGTGTTAAGGGTAAGTACAGATATTTAGCCAGTTTGGGTGGAAGCAGTGCGTTGGCAAGTATAAGCCTATTTATGATACCAAGGTCCTGCTGCCTTTCTGTCTCAATACAGTGGTGCCTCGCTTAACGGGCACCCTGTTTAATGACAAATCCGCATAGCGATGGCTTTTTTGCGATCGCTTTTGCAATCACATTGCAATGTTGCCTATGGGGAAAATACAATAGCCCCATTTCCCCCCGGCTGTCCTCGCAAAGCCCTAGCCGGCATTTTCCCCCAGCTGAGCGGCGGGAGCTTCCA